GGCGCACACGCCACGCGCTGCGAGATCGATGTCCGGAGCTGCGGGGGTGCAGCTCCGCCAGGCTCTCCGCGTTTAGCCCTCAGGCTGCAAGGCCAGAGGCGATCCGGGATCCTCAATTAGAGCGCCCACCTCGTGCCCAGCTCTGAGCTAAACAAGAAAGAAGCAGAAAATGCCGCTGAGGTCCACGTCCACAGCTCTTGCTGAGCTGAAAGTGAGGGTCAGGACTGAATCTGTACTGTCCTTAGTATGCGACCGGTGCCTAGCACAGCGCCTGGCACAGAGTAGACACTCAGTATATATAGGATGGGTGGATGGATGGATGGATGGATGGCATATCGCGAATGAATAAGCTCAAAAGAATGATTTCCTTTCACTCTTGTCATTCTCCAGGTTTCTACAAAAGCCTTCTGCTGCCCTTGTCACACCGGATATTCTTGGACTGCTAATGAGAAGCTTCGTAATAACTTTCCCCAAATGCACTCCTTACCCAAGAGCCTTCTGTTCTTAGCTTTGGTAGCCCATTGGGAGTTTCATTTCTCCACAGTGTTCTCCTCGGAGCCCAAGGACGAACCACCACTGACCTACGTTCCCAGACCTTTTCATTTCTTAGTTTGAGACAGACTCAAGCTGAATTGCTCAGGCTGGCCTGGAACTCGGAATGCTCCTGCCTCAGCCACCTGTGTAGCTGGAATTCCAGGCGCTGGTCCAGCAGGATTTCTTCCTGACCGGCAAGGCCCTTTAAGCCCTTTTCCCATTTCCTAGACTACTAACCAAGGCCAGGCTGAGGCGTCTCCCTGACTTTTCTCCCAATTCCGGATAACTGGATCTTACCAATTTATTTATTCAGAAAATTGACATGTCTCCATTCGGGAGAAACAAAAAGATGGAGAAGAAAGGGTCTAGGGTGAGTGGGCCCAAAAGTGGAGCTAGAGCAGGCCAGTCGGTCTCGGCGCTTGCCCAGGGAGTGTAACTCTCACCAAGGTGCCTTAACAGTGTGAACTGCACCACGGAAAGCATCACCTTCTGTCTTTTTTACCCCAAGAAGTTCTTATTCTGGATTCTTAGCAAATAGTAGATGCTCTTTAAAGTGTTACAGATGCCAAAGGAAGTAACTGTACAGCATTTCAATTGTTAAGCGCATGAACCAAGAATAGAACTCCTTTTTATTTTGTTCATTCATTAAATAAGTTTCAGGTAAAAAACCTTTTATTTTCCTTAGGTAGTACACTCATTCAGCACTTATATGGGTAGGGCCTACAAAATAGCAGTACAGTCATAAAGACTTTGTATAAATTCACCTAATCCTCACAACCTGTAGGGTACTATTATTATCTAAACTATATAGATGAGATGAAGAGAAGTTAAATAACGGCCCAACATGTACAAACCTACAAGTAGAAAATGCAAAATAAGAACACAGGCAGTCAGCATTTATGTTTTTAAACACTCCGTGTACTCTCTTGTGCTACCTAGAAACTATGCAGAGGATGGTAATTCCGCTTTGGACTTTGAGGAGCTACTCATGGCTTAACCAAGGTAAAAGGCATTAAATAAATAATCAGTGTAATTTGAAGACAATATGAATGGTTGGGAATGAAAACAATATTTTGGTCAATGCTATGTTTGCCATCATAATTATCACACTAAAAATATATCTTTGAAGAAAAAGAATTGTAATGTGATTAAGTTGAATAAAAGTTATGAAGACACGCACACAGCAATTAACAGGAATGTGAAAAATGGGTTAAGACTATCGTGCTATATTTATTTCTTTTGAAATTTTATTTTAATATCAAAACATTATCGTGATAATGCAGAAAAAAGTGTTTTAAAGTAGCCATCGCTTCATAAGTGTTCAGTGAATGATCCCTTCTTGGATGCATGAATGAGAGAAGGTGAAAATTCATTGCTGTTCATTGCCTAGGAGGGTTGGGCACGTAGGAAATGCTCAGTAACATATTTTGCAAATAATTGAAGTATTTGAGTAAAGCATTATTATTTTGTTCTTCACCCTGCTACTGCTCTCTACCTCTTAGATCTTAAATCATCTTGCTAAAATTATAAAGTTCCTTAAGTTTTGCTAGTACTTTGAACTTTATCTAATCACACTTTTGTCCCTAACATTCATATCCAAGATCACTATTGACCTCACTTTGCCAAACTCAAGGGTCAGTTTGCACCCTTCATTTTAGCTGACCTGTTTGCATTATGCACATTTGACTTATTGGGCCTTCACTTTCTTCCTTGCCTCCTTGTTTTTTCTTGTTTCATCTCCTGGTTCTTATTAGATCCTTTCGCTGAATCCCTAACCCCTTCACAATCTCTGAAGGCAGGAATATCCCAGAGCTCCAACTTTGAGGTAATTATATTTCTTTCCTCGGGAGTCTTATGCATAGTTTCCTAAAATGTCTATAGGATAATGACCTGAAAATTTAACTCCATAGCAGACGACTGACTTACACTATCATGCTCCTTCACATATTTGCATGTTGGACTCTTTAGCTCTGTTCCTCACCTACCCAATCTGCTCTCCACTTCTCCACCTTTGCAGGAGATCCCGTGTTTTACCCAGTTGATCTCAGTCATCATGCACTACTCTTTTTCTCGTATGCAATCCATCTTCTCAATCCTCCTGTCCAAAATCAATTCAGAACACATCCCAAACTCGGACAACAATACTCTCCTCTACCACCAACACCATTTTCCAAGTTACTGTCCTCTCGTCCTTCCATAGTTTGCCTGCCTAAACTTTTGTCCAGCACATCTATTTCTCACATTTCTCAGAGATTCTTATAAATGAAAATCAGAATAAATACAGGCTAGGAATTAAGGCAAAGGTTCTAAAGCCAGACTAGACTGCCTGACTCCAGGTTCAAAAGCCATAACTTAGTGACATTGTCAAGATATTTATCTTCTTTTTGCTTCAGTTTCATCCTCTATAAAATGGAAATCATAATATCTTTATCTTACTTCTGTTTTAAAATTAAATGAGCTTATGTAAGTAAAAGGCTTGGAAGAGAACTTGGCACCAATAAAGGCTATATAAGTATGCAGTATTATTTTCATAAGAAAAAGCATGTCATACTCTGCTCTCGGATATTCAATGATTTCTCATAGTGATCAGGTAAATTTTCAGAGTCCTTGCTGTGGCCTCTGTGGCCTCTGATGCAAGCTGGGTTACACCCTAAAGTGTATCATTGTGTATCCCTTGCATTTATTTGCATAATGTGGTCCTATCCTGAGGCTGTTGCACTGGCTGTTCCCACTTCTTGGAATGCTGTTCCTGCTGGCTTATTACATTTCTTTAACATCTTCATCCATGTTGCTATGCAACTGTTGGCTGCTCGGTGAAGCTTTTCTGGACCACCACATTGAATAACACCCTTTTTATCCTCTGCCTTCATTACGGTTAGGGTTAGGGTTAGGGTTTATTGAATGTCTCTTTAACTGGATTACAAACGTCCTAGGGTGATATGAGGTATCCCTAGAAAAACTGGACGGCTCTGCGTGAGGTATTCATTTCATAAACATTGGTTGAGTTGCTAACCCACCAAATTAGGACTCACAAATTTAAATAATCAATGTGTCGCACCCCTCCTTTTACGTTTGTGGGAAGCCATAAAAATGGGACGAGAAGAAGTAAAACAATGAACAGCAGTTGTGAGTTGGGTTCAAGGTAAAAAATGTACAGTGCAGAGACATTTTCTTTGGTGCATTTTGGATGAAAATGGCAGGATTGAGTACAAAGAAAAAAATACATGAAAATGGGAAAGAAGTCATGTCACCTTCCACATTTTCCATATTTCTACCTTTTAGAGTCTCGTCTCTTTTTTTCTTCCTTCCCCACAAATGCCCTCTGCCTGCTCGCTACCTACGTGAAGTCTTTCCAGGTCTACTCAGAAAATGTTCTTCTCCACTCTTTATAGGGCCCTCTTCTTCCTTTCTACTTCTGTTCCCAAGAAATGTCCTCGGTTTTCATCAGCTACTGTGGGGAAACAACCCAACTCACTACAGGCACATTAAGGGGAGATTCCAAAGCTCAGTGGTGCCTCGTCATAGAAATATGCTCATTCACCTCAGCACTGTCAAAGACAAGCTCCCCTGGACACTGCCTGGAGGGGTGAAAACATACTCTTCAGCGACTGCCGGCAGGAGAGCAACTGACTGGGCTCCACTCCTATTTGGGCAGAGGTAATGTGGGCATTCTAAAGGCAGAAGAAAGAGAAGGCAGGGCAGGCGTGCAGTAGACTCAGAGGAAAGAAAAACTACAAAAGATGGGCCAGTGTGTGTGCGATTAGGTCAGCCAAGTCAGCTGGGCAGCAGTTACAGAGGGATTCTCCCCGCACACAGACAGGAGAGGACAATGTAAGGTTCCAGGTAACTATTTCGGGTTCTTGAGAGACACTCTTGAGGTGTAAAAGATAAATATATATATTCACAACAGGAAGCCCTTTTTTTTATATTGGCTGCAAGTAAGGAAAGTCAAGGTATTCACTGAAAAAAAAAAAAATCCAGCAATCCCAACCTCTTGCTACTGTGACGCTTTCTTGTGTAGGTGTTTCCGAGGAAACTGAAGCGATCCTAGGGCCAGCATCATACATTGGAGCAGCCGTGCTAGGATTTCATGGGGTCTGTAAGAGTGAGAGTGTGGAACAAGCTCACCTGTTCAGAGCTTGTAGTTCTCAGAGGTTGGAGATCCTCACCTTGGGTACCTTTAGCGAGAGAATCAGAATCTCAGCATCAGCTGTTTCCGCTTCCCACTTGGCTTGTGCTTCCTTGGAAGGCTTGTCTTCACACGGATACCTCTCTGGTGCCCCCAAGGGGCCGTA